ATTTAATAAAGTTTTTAATCCAGTATGTTAAAAGTCATCCAACTCAAACCTGTTGTTCACAATGCAAAATTCTGATTAGATATCAAGGAAATAGGAATGTAAAGAATCTTTTGGTTGGGGTAATTAGGCCATCTTTATCAGAACAAAGTCAGATTGCAATGTGCAGGGCTCACACCATATTGAAATGGGTGAAAAAGTAAATGGGGTATGGAAGAGGTGACAAGAAATGGAGACAGTGTGTACAGATTAATGTGTAAACTGAATGACAGGGTATAAAAGAAGGGCTGAAACAGAAGTTAAAGCAATTGTATTTCAGTGCTTATATCTCTAATACAAAATGTTAAAGGAAAAAGCAAAAATGTTATCTGAAAAGCATTTGAGGAGAACAAGACTTTCATTTCACTGGATTGGCTATTAAAAAGAAAAACTAGACACAATATCTTCACGTGTTGCCTCAGTATTTTTTTGGTATTTGTTTAACATGAAAAAGAAAGCTTTCTCCATTTATTAAACCTGATGAGTAATGGGTTTTAAAATCTGGCTACAGGTTATACTATATCACACATAGGCTCCTACTAAATTACATTAAGATATATAATGACATTAAAAATATTCTCTAAGCAGTTTATGTTAATTCAATCTCACAAATATGTAATGATTTTCTATTGAAAAGTAATTACTATGCTAGATATTAAGGATCTAAACATGGATAGTTACAGTCTCAAAAATGTAACCTAGATAACATGAAAATTTTAATATAATGTGGTAAGAACTAAGTAGTGGGTAAGGTGAGCACTGGAAACATTTAACCCAACTGAATGATTCAGGCACCAGGTACACTGAAGGGAGCCTAGCAGGAGAAGTAAACATTAGCCAGTAAAAGCAGAGCGAGGACACTCAAGACAGAGAGAATAGTATTAGAAAGTTATAGATATATTCTGGGGCATGTTACATCAATAACATTATAAGCAGCAGGCTGATGAACTGAAGCATAATGTATAAAATAGGAGCAAAGGCTGAAGAAATAGGTAAAAGCAAGTTTTTGAGAGCCTTATATGTCATTATAAGAAGCTAAATTTATAACTTTATAAGGAGCTAAATTGTAGGTAAATCACTGTATGAACATGGTCAGGATATATTTTTAGAAGACCATTCTTGTTGCAATGAAGAGAACAAAAGACTAAGGGAAAAGAAAGAAGTTAGGAGGATAATAACCCACACATGAGATGAAAAAGCCAGATGGAGGCATATAATAGAAATGGAAATATAGGAAGGATTCAAGATCAATTAAAATGATAGGAGAAGTCAACAATGTTTAGTGATAGACTAAATGTCATTGGTGAGCACAGAAGTCTAAGATAACTTCACAGAATTCTGAGATTGGTGACTTGGTAGATGATATTGCCATGAATTCATAAAATATAACAAGAAAAGGAATAAATTTGAATGGAGGGAAAGGGTGGAAAGTGATGAGTTTAATTTGGAGCTGTTAAGTATGGGGTACAAGGAGAAGTGTCAAGTGGATGTGTCTAGCAGGTTTTGGGATACACAAATATCAAAACTAGCCAAGAGGTCAAAACTGAAGACATAGACATGGGATCACCATTGAAATGTTACTTAAAACCATGACGATGATAACGCTTTGTTAACACAGAAAAAAACTTGTATGTCTTTCACATTTACCATTCACATTCCCTTCAGGTACTTTCTTCATTCACAACTATACTTTATTTTAATGGCATTTTACCTGTTTGTCACATAGTAATCTAAGAGAAATGTCACCATTTTGATGTAACTGGAGAAATGGATAGAAACACTATCTATTCATGGTTTCCAGTTTTCTGTTCTTACCAACACATTGCTGACTTGGCCTGCTTTGAGTTATCCTCTGCAGAAGTAGATAAACCTTTCTGTGTTTCTTCTATAGTGAGGGCTCTTAGACACCTGCTACCAATAGTGTGCTTCCAAGGGTAAGCTAAGCTATGTCAGTTTCTTACAGCTGCTGTTGCTAATTACTAGAAATTTGGTGTCTTAAAGCAACATGACTTTATTATTTTGCTGTTCTGGAAATCAGAAGTCTGGAATCAGTTTAACTGAGTTAAAATCAAGATGTTAGCAGATTGCTGTTCTTTCTGAAGACTTCAGGGGAGAATCTTTTCTCTTTTCTAATTTCTAGAGACTGTCTTTCTTTGCTCATCGTCACCTTCCTCCATCCTCAAAGTGTACCTCTTCAACCTTTGCTTCCATCATCCCATCTTTTTCTTCTGCCTTTGACTTTCTTTTTTCCCCCCATTAAAAGAGCCCCAGAGATTATATCAGACCCATGGGGTAATTCTAGATAACCTTCTCATCTCAAGATTCTTAATTACATCTGCAAATTTTCACTTAAGATAACACTCACTGTTTCAAGGGATTAGGACATCTTTCCAGGGCTATTATTCAGCTCCCACACTGTCTATGACTTAGAGGTGAACATAATTGCTAGCCCCAGCTTGCAGTAGTGCTTACAGGCACGATGCTTATGTAAATAAGATAGCTAGCTATATATGAGATATTTAAATAGCATTCTTTAGCTAAAAATAAGCACATGGACAATAACTACAAAAAGTGCTATTAGTATTACTTACACAATATCACTGTTCATTTCCAAATAACTCTAAGAATTATAATGTAAATTTCATAACTGATAAATATAAGACATTTATCATTTTCCTCTTTTTTGACCTAAGCATCAAACTCTCCTTTTTGGTAGTCCCCTGAACTTGTTTTAAGAAATTACTTACCTCTAATCATGTGTACTTTTAGAAGGGTGATAAATCCATGTGACTGCTTTCCATTCTGGATATCAAAAAACCAATCCTGTCCATATTCTGGTACAGCCAGGAAGTTAGTGCCTGAATGAAGTTTGGCTGGTCAAATGCTCTACCCTGTGACTTGAATCTTGATCCAGTAATGTGAGGTTAGAAAAAACAGTTGGCATTTATTCAAGTTGACTGAGCAAAACCAAACCAAACTTCTTCTGTCTTTCTAGATTCCTAGCCCCCTAGTACTACCTCAAACCCTGCTTGTTCCCACCACTGCTTTCAAAGTCTCCCTTCAATTATGAAAGCTTTCAATATCTTCCCAATAAATCATATTCTCTTAAATTAGCCAAGTTTGATTTCTGTCACTTACAGTCAGAAATTCCTAATAATACTGGTGCTATACAGATATTATTGTTGCTGGGTTAAATCTAACATAAGGATTTTGTAAGAAAATTTATTTTCTGCTTCAAATAATTTTATTCACTGAAGTTCACCTCATACTTTAAGTTAAGCCCTGACAGTTATATCGGCCTTCTTATTTATGTAACCTCATTTAAAATTCTATAAATTAAAGTTATTTACAAATTTGGAAAGGCAATGTAGTTGTTTTTTTTAGACTATGGAAGTGATTTTTCCTATGTCAGTACTTGGCCTTTTCATTGAATGTTATTAGAAGCATAAGTACCCCTATGTAGACATTCTTGCATTGACTGGGGATATTTTTAAAATAAATTTTATTAAAGTATTGGTGATCATGGTAGTACAATGCTGAGGATTTACTTCCATTTCTTTGAGTGTTTAGTGGTTTAAAGATTTTTCCTCCTCTTTAATGGAAAATCACTCAGTAAAGTTGCGGAAAAGTGATTATTTATATGAGTCATATTTTTATGGAAACTGTTTTTCACTTCCCTGCATTTTTAGAACTGTTTTCTTGAAAAGGAATATTCTATTAATATTTATAATTAGATATCACACAAAGCAGATGCTAAATCTTATGCTATAAATTTATGGGTACAATTACATAAAGAAGATTATATACTCTTTGGCATAACGTTCTTTCTGGGAGCTGTAGCACAAAGGACATTCTCCATGAAGATGCCCATTCTTTTTTTTGAGTAGATGGAAATAGGAAGATGGTGATTAACCACGATTACTTTTAACTATTATTATCCGGAACACTAGTACTTAAGTGGATAGAGAAGCAACTCAGTGAATACCTGATTGACTTTTTTCTCTTTGACCCACATCTCAGTTCACCCAAGTCATACGTTTATCTCTATTGGTACCTTGAAGCCACATGGATTCTTCCTATTTTCAGACTGTATGAATGAGCCTGGCTTCCAAATGCACTTGGAGTGGATAGTGGGAAGTTTGTTGAGGTCAGAAAACAGGAGAAAAAGGGATTTGTTTTTCTGATTACCTTTAGGATAATATCCAGGGGAATCGGTGAAGGTATATTGTGTAATCTAAACCGCACATCCTTCGAAGAGCTGCCGCTGCCGCTGTATAGATGGAGAAACTGACGCTCTGAGGAATAACTGAAAGTAATGGTACTGGGTTTAACCTCCGTCCTTCTGAGTCTCGATTCTTTTCCCCTACCCTGTCTCTTGTCTGGCGATTACTTCTTCAAAAATTCTACTAGGGGCCCTGAGGATGAAGAGGAGAGGACAGCAAACCCTCTGCACGCCAGGACGATCTCCTGGGATAAAAAGTGTTATGAGCTCCTAATTCCCTCTCTTAAAAAGTCAAGGTTAGGAACCACGGCTGTCGGGAGGGAAGAGGAAGGTTTAATTCCCCGGAGAAGCTGCTCAGGGGAATGGATGGGGCACGCCCACTAAAGGGTGGCCACCTCTCGGTTCCATCCTAGGCTTACGGTGCTTTCCTCTCAGTCCGGTGTGATTGCACTTGCCACCGCGAAGGCTGAGGGGACACAACCCGCGGGCCAGGAGCACGCTCCGGGAGACGCGGGCTCCTCCCGGTGGCCTCGGCACACGTGCTTGGGTCGAGACCAGGGCTAGTGACCCTGCCGTAGTAGCTGGGGCGGGTGGAAACGACTGGTTCCCCGCGCGGCCGCCGCCCGCCCGCCCGCTCCGGTGGTTGGGCGGAGGAAGCGCGGGACTCCTCCTCCCCGCCGTATTAACATGCACCCAGAGGCGGGTGACCGGCCCAGCTTCGCCGCCCCAGCCCGCCGCGTCCCGGCGCTCCGTCTCCGCGCCAGTGGCGAGAGCTGCTCTCCGGCCGCCGCGATCCCGAGGACACGGCCTCTTCGGCACATCCAACCCCTGGGAATCGGCAGCCCCAGCGGCGGGAGCGGCCGCAGCCGCCTCGGCTCTTCTACCGAGTCCTTCCCCTCACCCTGCGGAGAGCCTGTCCCAACCACTGAGACACCTCTTTCGTCCTCCTTCCGAGGCTCCTGGGACCGACGGACAGACGTAGGGAGGTTCGGGTCCCGGACCTCAGGCAGCGGCAAGGTAACGACCCGCTGCACCGCGGGGGCTGGGGTGTGCGCGCGTGGCAGCGGCCGCCGGAACCCGGGACGCAGCCACCGCCGCGGTCACAGCGCGCAGGGTGTCCCTTGCCCGACGCGAGGTTGCCGCCTCTCTTGCCCGCGGAGGGACTGTGGGCTGGGTTCCTGGCCTTCCTCCCTCGCACGGGAGACCACTTACATTTCTGCGGGAGCACTGCCGGCCGCTGAGGACCCAAGGAACTCTGGGGCCGGCGCGCCCCTCTGGAGGCTTGCGGTCCTCGCCTTTCACCCGGGGCCGGGGAAGGGACGGATTTCTAATTGCGACAGGGTCCTGGAAGGGGGAGGGGAAAAGAACACCACTCCAGGGGATCTCAAAGAACCAAATTCACACCTCCCCAGGTCCCCAACCCCTAATGCACCTTTCAGGAGAGGAGGGGGCTGCTCACTGCAGGGAATTTCATGACTCCTGGGTCGTTTCCAAAGCAAGTTGTTGCACTTGCTTTTTAGGTGACATTTTGGCATTGGTTGCGGAGAGAGCCTCCTCCGTGTGTGTATGCGCGCGCGCAAGAGAGAGAGAGAGAAAGCCAGAGCAACAGAGGCACAAAGAGAGACAGAGGCACAGGGTGAGACCGAGATACAGGGAGACACGCGCGCGCGCATACACACAAACACACACACACGCCGGGGTCCTAGCGGGAGGCTACTGGAGAGTTGTCCCGGGCCGCAGCCCAGGCCAGTTGCGGGTGAATAGCGTGGCGAGCGAGCGATGAGACCCAGTATTCAGCTACTACAACGAGTGGGTCTGGGGCCGAGACCAAACGGAGACCTCTCCTTGGGCCCCGGGAGAGATAACAGATTGCACTTTCATAGAGGGGCGGCTGCAGCTGCGGAAGAGACCCTCCCTGGGCCGCGCGGGGATGAAGACCCCGCATTCAGGACTCAAGCTGGTTTGCTCGTTGGGCACGGCGAGCTGCCTCTGCTTCTGCTTCGCTGGGTGGCCCCCAGTGGGGCGGGGGGCGTGGGAAGGGGAAGCCGCTGCTGGGGTGCTCAAGACACTGAATGCCTTTGCCTGAGCTCCCGCCCCTGGCTTTCGGGTTCGCCTCCCTCTTGTCCACAACGCTGTGAAATTTTCTGACAGGAGAAAGGCTGTCGGAGGGGCAGGGACTTGAGGTGGAGAGACAGTCGGGACAGGAATGCCAGTGGGTGAGACGTTATTTCTTTTATGGATTCAGGAGAGACTGTACACGCTTGACACATTGAGCCTGGCTCGGGTGCGGGAGAGATCGATGCTCCCCTGTCTCACCCGGCAATGGCACGCGAAGTTATGGAATTACAAAATGAAAGACATATAATAAAAGTATCAGTTAAAGACAGATCATTAGCTTTCGTGGTCTTTACAAAGTCCTGTTGGAACAATCTGAGTTGTAGTCAGACCCTGGGATGAGGAATGTTTAGAACTGGGAAAGTGATTTTCGGACTGAATGGGAACATCTAAATTATTTTTACCAGAAAGGTGCTAACTGCCTTTTGATTGTTATTTATGGGAGAATTTCAGTTGCAGGAAACAATTTTCTACTGGCCTAATTTTGCATATGTAGCAATAGTGTTAATCCCAACTTGAAAAAATGTCATGAAGGCAAGAGTACCCTGTTGTAAGTAGCCTGATTTATGGGATGTCAAAAGGATAAAGTTTTCTTTGCTTAAATTTTTAAAAAGGAAGGAAATTCAAAGCCCTAAGGAGATGTTGAGTATAGTTATGCAAAATGTGTGAAACTTAATGTTTAGGTTATAAAAGCCATCCTTGGTTTAGAAAATTCATATTCTGTCATGAAATAGGAAAATTCATGGAAATCTGGTGTCAATAGCTTTCTTATTAATTTGCTTAGCATTTACTAGTTCAGTTTAAACTTGGTTGTAAGGAAGTCACTGCCCTGAAATAGTCCTAGTTTCAGATCTAAAATTCCTATTTTTAAAAAAAATTGCCTCATTGAGGAGAAACTATTAGTTATTTTATGTGAGAAAAACAACTTGAATGCGTTCATAAATATGGGATTTAAAAAATTTACATCTCTATATCACACAAGAAAAATTGTACTCTAGGGGGAATAATACATATATGAGTTTTCTTTATGGGATATTTTTATAGTGTAGCATATTTAATTTCTTACTCATTATAATTTTGTTCTGCCAGGATGAAAATCTTGATAAACCATATTAGTGTTGAAATCAAGACCTTTTCCTCAAAATATTATGGAGCCTATGTAGAGAAATAGCCTAAAATGAAGTGCTGTTCTACTTTCTAATTCCTCCTAAGCTGAAGTGTCCTATTGAATTACACTTGGAAATACAAATAACCATCTAGATTGATAATTTTTAAATATAAAATTAAATCTGGGAAGAGGAGAACTGAAGTTTTACTATCTACTCATTCAGCCTATTTAGTAGCATAGTAATAGTTCAGCTACAACTTGATTGAGACATGTACCGTGTTGTTTAATCAGTAACTTCTCTGGAAACAAGAAATTCAGCATTCTGACTTTAATTTTGCATTTCAAATACAGAAAAAATAGTAAAATGCTAAGTATGCATTTTTATAGTGACATTTCTATGACAGACTCAAATTTACATTATGGTGCCTTCTTGGTCATTCCCACACATGGTTCCACCCTTTATCAGAGCAACTCTGCTCCATGCCAAAGGATCTGTTTTCTCATGGGAAACATTCAATTGGAAGACTTGTATGAAGATTTCATTAATATAGAAGCCACATTTGCCTCTCCTTGTTTAACTTAAGGAAATGATGTACTTCTGAGTTTTTTATTTTCTTTCTTTTTCCTTTGGTATTTTTTTTTCCTGCTAAAGGAACACAATAAAACAGGAAGGCTGAGAGGACTTTTGAAAAATCTAAACACTTTTTTCCAGTCCTTACCTCCCACACTTAAGTCTCATGCCTTATGTCTGTGGTATGTTGTTCTCTTTGTGCATTTTTATTTTAAAATACAATCAAAAGAAGGCCCTTTGCTAACATTCTAAAAATCTTTGTTCTGCTGAAACACTGAGAGGTTCAAAAACAGCCCAAATCTTAAGCTGCCTCTTTTATTTCCAGAAGATGTAAGGGCTTTAAATTCTTCATTTCTGGGGAAAAAAGGGGAGGATAATTTTAGTGGCCCCTAAAACAATAGATAAATAAATAAACAAACAAATAAATAGATATCATGGGGCATTTGCAGTGTGTTACTGTCCAATGAAGTTGATTGTCCCTGGATATGTGATCCATCAAGAATTTCTAAAGATGCCTGGCTGGCATAGCTCAGTGGATTGAGTGCAGGCTGGGAACCAAAGTGTCCCAGGTTCGATTCCCAGCCAGGGTACATTCCTGGGTTGCAGGCCATAACCCCCAGCAACCGCACATTGATGTTTCTCTCTCTCTCTCTCTCTCTCTCTCTCTCTCTCTCTCTCTCTCGCTCTCTCGCTCTCCCCACCCTTCCCTCTCTAAAAAAAAAATAAATAAAATCTTTAGGGGAAAAAAAAAGAATTTCTAAAGATGTTGTCTCTAGGAAGGTCTAAACACTTTTCTGCTACAGAGGAAGATTTAGAACTAATCCTCAGTCATTTAACTTATTAAAACATTCACTGACAACTCATTGTATGAGATACCGGGCAAGTAGTTCTTACTAGTTCTTTTTCTTCTAATACATAACTATTTAGCACATATATCTATATCTATATACCTATATATTTATATACCTATATATCTCTATATATCTATATACCTATATAGATATACATATATATATACCGAATCACAGCATTACAGCATTTGTATATATTCATTATATATAGAGGTCTGTCCAGAAGATATCCAGCCATGTTATATGAAAAATAGAGATATTTATTGCAGAAAATATAAGCTACAAGAAGCATTGTGCATAGGACAATGATACTTCAGTCCCCTTCAAAGTGGGGTACCTTGGGACATCACACAGCTCTCCCAATAGCCATCAGCTGCCCCATTGTATTTTACTGAATGTTATCAACAGCCTGAAATCTCTTCCCTTTCAAAGGTGATTTTGGTTTTGGGAAAAGCCATAAGTCAGTCCCAGAGTGCCAAATCTAGGCTTTAGGGGGACTGAGTTACCTGAGTGATTTGATGTTTCACAAAAAAACTCTGTACAAGACATGATGCATAAGGGGGCATGTTGTCCTGATGAAGCTGCCAATCACCAGTTACCCATAGCTGTGGCCTTCTGAATCATCCAAATAGTTCCTGTGGAGGAATGTTCATGGTTAATGAAAAATTTGGTGCAGATTCATTGGTGTACTTGCTCAGTCATTTTGAATATTATGGCCACACAGTACACATGCTCACTGAATGGCATCTATGGACCCCACTGACTAGTACAGTGAAGTTGTCATTATTCACACATGTGCATTCCAGCCCACTCTCCTTGGCTGCCAGATTACATCAATGTCATGCAAACCATTCTCATTATATTAACAATGGCTGGACTTTTTCAGGACAGACTCTATCTATCTATCTGTCTTTTATTTTATTCTGTAACCCTGCAACACACAAACTTGCACAGCAAAATATGGGGTTGAGAGCAGGAAAAATGAGATGTGGCTATAAGAAGACTAAAATGATAAATGATTTCTTTTTGAGGTCTTTTCTTCCCTACTGTGATGGCATAGAGGTCAGTATTGCCTATGAGATATGTTGACCCATCAATTTTATATTCTTCACCGTAGCAAATGGTAGGGGCCAGTCAACTGGTGTAAAAGTGAGAAACTAGAGATATTCTTTGTCTTTATTGGCTTAAGATTTCTCCTGCTTGGTGTTTATTGTTTCTTCCTTCTTGTAGGAATTAGTGATTATTACATAAAAAGTGACATCCTGCTTCATATGACCACATCACTCACAGGAAGCAAGCCCCCTGGATATACAGCCATAGATCTTTGGCCCAGAATCTTAGGAATCTTAGGCCTTTTCTTGGGCAGATGAGA